ATCAAATTATTTATCAATATTAACTCAGTTAATGTGTAATTTTTTTTCATGAAAAATATACTTATGAAATTATTCCAAAAAAAAATAGAGACAGGGTAATAAAAAAGGCTATGCATGTACTATGGAAGACCCCAGGAAGGGTCATTAGTTTTGTTGTTTGGAAGAAACTGCTGAAATTCTGGAGTTTTGCAGTTTGTTAAAAAAAGGTATCATCACTGATGGAGATAGAAAAGGACTTTTCAAGACTCTCTCACCGTTTCATTTAAAAGTTGTAAATTAAAGGAAATGAGTTTTTGTCACAAAATATACTTGTCTAATCTCTTTATCTTTGCTACCCCATGTTGTAGACCTTTGATATTTCAAACTATGAATTCTGTTAGACCTAAGTTTGAAATAACAAATGTTTATATCATCAGAGCTGAAAACTTAAGAATGAGATATCCTTAATCCCAATTATTTCATCTGAGTATCCAATGGACACACTTTTGATTTTCTTCTTAAACCGTTCTTTTTTGGATATAGTAGAGAAAAATCAAAAACCGTTTTTTTTAAATTTAGAGAGCCCCTCCTGTTTCTATATATGATCTTGAATGGCGCGCAAAATTTCAAATTTATCGGCTTCATATATGCGACTCTGATGACTCTGATTGGGTGAATTTTATACACTTTTCAGGATACAAGTACAAGATTAGGTTAGTCTCGATATTAAGAAAAAGAGATGATCAAGCATTAATCTCAATATCCACCATTCTAAAGTTTTCAACTCAGATTGTATAGATATAGGGGTTAGACAATTTGAGTTTGTGACAAAAACTCAGTTCCTTTGTAAAAATTGGAAAAACTAACGATTTTTTCTGGAGTGCTAATTTTCTAAAACTGTTTATTTTAGAAAATCAGGTTTAAATTGATCAATTATAATAATTACAATTTAAGAATATGTTTGCTTTCGTCGTTTTTAAACAAAACCCGCAATATTAATCTGCATCAGGATCTATGTAATATACAATACAGACCTATATGCATGTATGGAGAGGTTTTGCTTGCATACTAATTATTCAAATTCTATTCAAACCTATTCATATCATTATCAATTCACTAATCAGTTTATTTGATAAATCAATTGATCATTAATGTAATCTCTACTTTGAATTATTTGGTTCTCGAGGTTATGGTTTCGGTTTAAAAGTGTTGAGTTCTGATAATTTCCTTCATTAATTCTGAAGGATACATTTTATGGAAAATAATAAATATTCAAACCTTACTGAAGGCTCAAGCGCTTACTTTCCATGTTTGCTTGAGTAGGATGTAAATTATAAATGTATATTTGTTGACGGATATATAGCAAGATACTCAAGATGAAAGATGTTGAACCCCTTCTCAAAAAATCGATAACAAAGAATTCTCTTTATTTCCTGAAAAAAATGACATGTATAGAAAACTTGAACAAATGTTATAATTAATTTTTATAATGAAAAAAATTCTTACCTAACCTAATAACTGATGAAACGGGTTATCAATAATTGAACAGTACTAAAAGTCGTTTTAAACTTCTGAAATAAATGACAGTTTAATTATTAACGAAAGTCACTAATTCTTTATATGAAAATATTCTTGTTTAACTTTTTGAAAATGGATTCACAATGCGAAGTTGTTTACGACTCTGACAGGACAGAGTGAACAAAGAAACACTGGTTAAAATTGTTTGGTTTGGTTTGGTGTCTCCGAGAGGGGATCTAAGTTAAAGACGACTTTACACGGAGCCTATTGTTAATGGTTGACAATATTATATAAAACGGGAATTAATCAAATAGTTTAATTTCAAAACAATGGTATTATATGCGTGCAAATATTTTTAATAGGTGAACAACCCCTTTAAAGAAAGCACTTATTTCTCCTATTTTTCTTGTTTAAAGCCTTGAGAAAATATATTTTATGCTTGGTTTAGTATAATCTCGGGCTTACATTAAGAGATAATTATTATTTTATGTGTTTTTCACCCATTCTACAGCTCTTATACTTTCTTTAGACCAAATATATATCTCATTCAATTTATCATTTAGATGAAATCTGAGCATTTAACACATTCATGATGTATTTTTGATAAAAAATATTAATAAAAAAAGCATATAATCCGGGTTGGTGCGAAACAAATGTAATTTTAATGTTATCTGTTGGATATCTCTAGGACTGACAATGTGGCCAGACGCGCTCCTACTAAGTTATTTATATTTTGTCAAATATGGCACAAAGGAAAATGTACGTTTGGTAAGTAGGACTGGGCAAAGTTCCGTTAACGGAACCGAGGTTTCGTAAATTAAAGGAAGAGTCCATTAACAACCGGCAAAAACACTTGATGTTTAAACCGTTAACAAACTGGATTTGTCATTTTTGTAAAAAAAAAATTAATGGTTTAAAACGAAATCAGAACAGTTTTTTTAAAACAGTGAATTTTGTTTTTTTTCTGCTCAAAGTTGCTGTTAATTAAAAAAATATATATTTTTTACATGTTTTGATTTTTTTAAATGTTGTCTTCTGTGTTCACAACCTAAAATGCTGAGAATAGATCCCGGTAACCTTTGAATTTTGATTTAAAAAAATTGGAGTTTGTCAAGCCGTTCAAGAATCTGGGTTCTCCTCATAATAGGATAAATAGAGTTGATATGGATACCTAGATACAACTCAGTCCGCAGAATTAAAAGGATAAATATAATTTAACTGCTACTGCCGTTAACAGATTCTATTTTTAAAAGTTAAACAAAAGAACAATATTCATAAAAAATAGTGATTTACATTGATACTTAATTGTCATTTTATTTCAGAAGTTAATAACGTCTTTTAGTACTGTTTGTATACCTAATTTGTTTCCACATTTCCTGTTCTAGATCGTACGGATTTTTCTTTATTACAAACATTATTTTCATTATTTATACCCAATTAATGAGATGAGTTATAAACACAAGAATGAGACAGCTATGGCAGAAGAGCACAGCGGATTAGCTGAACCACGTAATGCAGTGAGACAGATACGACACTTGGAGCAACAACAAGAAAATGTACATCGAGAAAATGGCATAGATTGATTAAGAGCTTTTTTGAAAGTTAACTGTGACCTTCTTGAAACAAGCAGGCTGAGATCATACCTCGGTATTTGATAGAGATGGATTAAGAGCTTGTTTGATAGTTAACTGTGACCTTGTTGAAACAAACAGGCTGAGATCATACCTCGGTGTTTGGTAGAGATCGATTAAGAGCTTGTTTGATAGTTAACCGTGTTCTTGCTGAAACAAACAGACTGAGATCATACCTCGGTGTTTGGTAGAGATCGATTAAGAGCTTGTTTGATAGTTAACTGTGACCTTGTTGAAACAAACAGGTTGAGATCATACCTCGGTGTTTGGTAGAGATCGATTGAGAGCTTGTTTAATAGTTAACCGTGTCCTTGTTGAAACAAACAGGCTGAGATCATACCTCAGTATTTGATAGAGATTGATTAAGAGCTTGATTGATAGCTACGCTTGTTTCCCTGTGTGACATTTAGATCTCGATTAATAGCTTGTTTGATAGCTATGCTTGTTTCCCTGTGTGACATTTAGATCTCGATTAATAGCTTGTTTGATGCTTGTTTCCCTGTGTGACATTTAGATCTCGATTAATAGCTTGTTTGATAGCTACGATTATATCCCTGTGTGACATCTAGAGTTCAATTAATAGCTTGTTTGATAGCTATGCTTGTTTCCCTGTGTGACATTTAGATCTCGATTAATAGCTTGTTTGATAGCTACGCTTGTTTCCCTGTGTGACATCTAGAGTTCAATTAATAGCTTGTTTGATAGCTATGCTTGTTTCCCTGTGTGACATTTAGAGTTCAATTAATAGCTTGCTTGATAGCTACGCTTATATCCCTGTGTGACATCTACAGTTCAATTTCTCCTATCCAAAAAAAGCTACCTTATAATCAGGGGATCCAATATCAGTCTATAATTCATCAAATTATGATTTTAATGGTTTTTATTAAAAACAGAAACAAATATGATATGAAATATGGTTAAGAGAAGGCCCGGAACCAATTATCATCAATAATTTAAATTTGGAAATGTACAGAAACATTATTGAGAAATCCTACGAGCATTTAATTATTAACTTAATTCTGGAATACTGGGAATTCCTATAGAACTAACAGGAAATGTCATTTTTGTTCCTATTTTGTTGTCTAGCATTTTATTATTTTTGTTGTTTTATTTAGAATTGACAAATAAATGAAACCCTAACACCGGCTCGTAGCTAACAACTGGGTACACGTCAGTCCATGGTTCTATAACTATCTGTTCTGTGGACTTACACGAGTTTTTGGTAGTCTTTAATATATCATCTTTTAAGAATACCGATGTACTTAATTCCAATATTGTTTATTTATTTCAATCTTAGGTGAAAAATGTTATCCAAGAAATCGGTATAAAGCGAAAACATTAATTACACTCATTCATATAATTAATTGAATTCTGTTCTAAGAACGTTATTTATTCTGCTTTCGTGAGATGCAGTAGAATTAATGGAACAAATAAAAAATTAAATATTAAAGCAATTTCTTCTACAACTCGAGATAGAATAAAGTTTAAAATGTAATTTTATTTCTACATATCGCATTATGTTACTCAAACTCATAACCATGTGCATTAAGGTGTCCACAAATGCTTTAACTATTGTTTTTAGAGACACCCTGTAGTAGTGTGGTTCTGGAAGCAATCATGTCAAGTAAATATTATCTCATTGAGTTATACCCTGCAATTTTTTAAACACTTTCTCCAATTGTTATACATGGTAGGGTATATTTAACTTTACCTACACTGTTTACGATATATATAAACACAATGATAGCCGTATAAAAATCACATTAATACAGAAAGTGAGTACTACAAAGGTTCATGTTAATTGTCAGTCAAGAAATATTAATCTATTTAATTAATCGTTTAAATTTTTTAAAATCCAATTGTCTTATATTTATCATCATTTGAGTTTTTTTTTTTTTTGATTGAGCCAATTTGATATTAGGTTCTGTTCATCGAATTAGCTCCCTCCTCCATCATTTTTCTGTACTCTAATTGATCGTCAATCATTTTCCTGTACACTCTGTACTTTCTGGTATGGAACTTCTGTACTTCTTCATCCTAAAATATGTACTTTTATAGTCCGAGAACTGTGTGCTTAATACTTTTCGTTCTGTACTCTGTAGTTTAAATTAAAGGATATTTGCGGCTTTTTTAAGTAAACCTTCGTTAAGAGAGTGGCATTACCAAGGTACCAATGCAAGGAAAGTTAATTGCGGTTGCGTATACTCTTCGTACATATTGAAACCAGTTCTCTCTGGGCGGAATTTGTAAACAAGAATAGATGCATCAGTGTTCGTCTAGTATCCGAGGAGGATAAAAGCATTTAATTTTGATAATTTTGAAAATTCACATATTAGTTTCCTATTGAAAATTGATTCCATGTCAGGCTGTAACATCCATCTTGTGTTTACTTTTCCGCCCAAAGGCAGTACACTGCAGTACAAAAAAATGCGTACACCTCTTAATTATCTTTCCTTACATTAGTACCTTGTGCACTACGATATCTGATTCACAACAGGGGAGTGTCCTTTTAAGCTACAGGGTGTACCACATCAAATTATATCGCGTATACAGGGTGTCCCACATCAAATTATATCTCGTATACAGGGTGTCCCACATCAAATTATATCGCGTATACAGGGTGTCCCACATCAAATTATATCGCCTATACAGGGTGTTCCACATCAAATTATATCACGTATACAGGGTGTCCCACATCAAATTATATCGCGTATAGCTAAAAATTGTGATTTTAGAAAATTTAAAAACAATGAATCATTTTCAAAATATGTAAAAGGTTTCTTTGAAAGTTGTAATGCAGAAAATACTAGGATTTTCGAATAGAAATGTGCGAATTTTGACGTTAAAGCTTGGAGATAATCTAATATGATATGGGACGCTCTGTAGGTTCCATCAGAAATGAAAAAGGTATCGTTAAGTACATTCCAGCTTAAAGTCACTTCTATATTTTTGTACTTATTAAGTCTAAAGAATGTTGTATTATACTTTTGTACTTATTAAGTCTAAAGAATGTTGTATTATATTTTTGTACTTAATAAGTCTAAAGAATGTTGTATTATATTTTTGTGCTTATTCAGTCTAAAGAATGTTGTATTATATTTTTGTACTTACTAAGTCTTAAGAATGTTGCATTTATATTTTTGTACTTATTAAGTCTTAAGAATGTTGTATTTTGTTTTTTTGTTTTTTTGAGTCTAAAGAATAACGTATTTTTGTTTTTGTTCGAGTTAATTTTTATTTGTATAGTATTCAGTTTTAAGAAGGTTGTAATTGTATCATTATACTTATTCAGTTTTAAGAATGTTGTAATTATATCATTATACTTATTCAGTTTTAAGAATGTTGTAATTGTATCATCATACTTATTCAGTTTTAAGAATGTTGAATTTGTATCATTATGCTTATTCAGTTTTAAGAATGTTGTAATTAGATCATTATACTTATTCAGTTTTAAGAATGTTGTAATTATATCATTATACTTATTCAGTTTTAAGAATGTTGTAATTGTATCATTATACTTATTCAGTTTTAAGAATGTTGTTATTATATCATTATACTTATTCAATTTTAACAATGTTGTAATTGTATCATCATACTTAATCAGTTTTAAGAATGTTGTAATTAGATCATTATACTTATTCAGTTTTAAGAAAGTTGTAATTATATCATTATATCTATTCAGTTTTAAGAATGGTGTAATTATATCATTATACTTATTCAGTTTTAAGAATGTTGTAATTGTATCATTATACTTATTCAGTTTTAAGAATGTTGTAATTATATCATTATAGAATGTTGTAATTGTATCATTATACTTATTCAGTTTTAAGAATGTTGTTATTATATCATTATACTTCTTCAGTTTTAAGAATTTTATAATTATATCATTATACTTCTTCAGTTTTAAGAATTTTGTAATTATATCATTATACTTCTTCAGTTTTAAGAATTTTGTAATTATATCATTATGCTTATTCAGTTTTAAGAATGCTGTAATTGTATCATTATACTTATTCTGTTTTAAGAATGTTGTAATTGTATCATTATACTTATACAGTTTTAAGAATATTGTATTTGTATCATTATACTTATTCAGTTTTAAGAATGTTGTAATTGTATCATTATACTTATTCAGTTTTAAGAATGTTGTAATTGTATCATTATCCTTATTCAGTTTTAAGAATTTTGTATTTGTATCATTATACTTATTCAGTTTTAAGAATGTTGTAATTGTATCATTATACTTGTTCAGTTTTAAGAATTTTGTAATTATATCATTATACTTCTTCAGTTTTAAGAATTTTGTAATTATATCATTATGCTTATTCAGTTTTAAGAAGGTTGTAATTAGATCATTATACTTATTCAGTTTTAAGAATGTTGTATCTCAATTTATTTTGTTGAATATTTGACATATCTCCTATTTTCTATTTTGTAGACTTCACTTTCGTTTTAGGAATAAATAGAACATGACAGGGTTGGTTTATCTGTTCATATTTTCAAAACAGTGATGGAAGAGGGAGGGACGGTACGCAGTGGGGTAGATTTTCCACATAAATGTTCTGAGTTCAGAACAGTGAGGGAAGAGGGAGGGACGGAGCACAGTGGGGTAGATTTTCTACATAAATATTCTGAGTTCAGAACAGTGAGGGAAGAGGGAGGGACGGAGTACAATTGGGTAGATTCTCTACACAAATGTTTTAAGTTCAGAACAGTGAGGGAAGAGGGAGGGACGGAGCACAGTGGGGTAGATTCTCTACACAAATGTTCTAAGTACAGAACAGTGAGGAAAGAGGGAGGGACGGGACACAGTGGGGTAGATTCTCTACACAAATGTTCTAAGTTCAGAACAGTGAGGGAAAAGGGGGGACGGGGCACAGTGGGCTAGATTCTCTACACAAATGTTCTAAGTTCAGAACAGTGAGGGAAGAGGGGGGGACGGAGCACAGTGGGGTAGATTCTCTACACAAATGTTCTGAGTTGGAACCATGAATGCTTTAAACTAACATTGAATAAAGTGTATGGGATAGAAGAGTCCCAAGGAGACTAGTTCTCTATCTTACAAATGTTAAAACGTCTGCATAATGTTTAAAAGGGAGTTAAACGAAGTTTTAGAACAGAACAGGGAACAATTATTTACATTTAAAGGGAAGGTTCACGAATTGTAGTCAACAATAAGATAAAGTACTTTTTTTACAAAACCAGGAAACATGTATTTAAGTTTCCTTTTCATATATATTTTTTCAAATATGAGTGATCTCAGATTATGTTGAAAGTCCCTTTAAATGTTCAAAATCTTTCAATTGTGCAGAATCCTGGGTTTAGATATTTATATATATTTATACCTGAGAAGGTTTAATAATATTTTGAACTCCAGGAATCTTCTCCATTGCCTTCAAAACTTCCTGAATACATTGATTTAGAATATTTTGTGTTTTCAAACTTAAATAATGAAAATAATTCAGAAATGTTAGTCCCTGATTTTAACCAAAATATAAAAACAAAATCGAGAGTCTCTCGTAATTTCTAACTGAATATAAAAATCGTTTTTATTAAATACTCTGTAGTAAAAAACCACATTTATAAAATTAAAAGACGACATTACCGTCTGCAAAGCATTAAAATCATAAGGTAGGGCGGGCCAAGTCGTTTCCTTCTCCCATATATTCCATACTCCTTGGTCGGAACCCAGCAGGGATATCCAAAAGAGCGGATCATACAGAAAAACAAAAGCGCCAATAGTTAATATCGAGATTAAGCAAACGGGATCAACGGTAAATAACACAAGTGTAAACATGGTCTTAAGTCACAACTTTTGTGCGGTTTATCTCGGGATCAAGTATTAATCTCCGTCTTATGCAAATCTCCGGGCTAATTAAATTCCTCTTCGATATCCCGAGATGGTTTTACCCTTCAGGGAAAATTTTATTTGAGGGATCAAGTATAGATATTCAAATTAAGAAGTGTCCACATTGGATATCGAGATCAATTGTTCAAGAATAACTAGATTAACGATCTTCCACAGAAAAGCTCTGATCTCCGATCATTTTTAGAAATATTTGAGTTTCAAGAATCACAAATTTCAAAATTCTTTATTAAAAGAAGGAAAAAATATTTCCACTTTAACTGATTACCTCAATTCTGTGAATTAGATGGGATTCAACAGAATGTTAAAACATCAAAGAGTGATTTCTCAGGCAAATGATAAAATTTCAATGTTTTGTATTTTACCCGAAGTCATCATGAATCCTCATCATGATTTAGCTGGAAAATATTTTCTGTATTGTTCGGACTTCTTTCAGAAACTGGGAAAGGTTTAATCTTTTACCGGAGAACAGGGATGATGATTTATTATATTTTATTTTCTACAGTTTCAAAGCTTTATATCAACATTGAAATTGTTAACTCGGAAACAGGAAACCTTAAAATATATTTGACGAATGGCGTCGTCTCGTTCAAAACTTTTTATTTCTGTAAAATTTTCCAGTTTGAAAAATGTTATTTTTGCATTTCTATCAAATTCTAAAATTGCATCAAGATCGGCTTGACCAGTTTAGAGGTATATTATTTTCAAAATCACAAAACTTCCAAAACAATCCGATATTTATTCTTGAATGAACCATAACAATTTTTTATCTCGTCTCACGTTCTGGCACTGAAACATTCTAGTTATTATTATTATTAAAGATTTATTCACCCACATTTCATATACATACATATATTACATATTACATATATTAATGGTATAGTTTAAATTTGTTTTGTTATGAATGATATTAAATGTATTCATTATTCACTCTCATAATCTCCAATTTCATAAACCTGCTATTTTAAAGAAATCTATAGTCAGACTTTTGATAATATTTTTCTTTCAGGATTAAATCCCTTGCACTTAAAAAGTTGATTCAGGAAAAGTATCAAATTTTGGTAACAATAAAAATGTAAGCAATATTTAGAACAAGTCAGCTCGTAATTAAAACACATTCTAACTGCATACAGACTTTTTCAGCATATTCTTGATGTTTCTAATAGACTTGACATCCAGACTAATCAAAGGGTGTAAAACCATTATCGATGTTGCAGGTAGACTTGACATCCACATTTCGCACTCATCAAAGGGTCTAATCCAATTTTTGTTTCTAGTGGACTTTTAACATCCACAATAATCAAAGGGTGTAAACTTATTCTCGATGTTTCTAGTAGACTTGACATCCACAATAATCGAAGGGTGTAAACCCATTCTTGATATTTCTAGTAGACTTGATTTCCACAATAATCAAAGGGTGTAAACCCATTCCCGATATTTCTAGTAGACTTGACATCCACAATAATCAAAGGGTGTAAACCCATTCTCGATGTTTCTAGTAGACTTGACATCCACAATAATCAAAGGGTGTTAACCCATTCCCGATGGTTCTTGTAGACTTGACATCCACAATAATCAAAGGGTGTAAACCCATTCTCGATATTTCTAGTAGAATTGACATCCACAATAATCAAAGGGTGTAAACCCATTCTCGATGTTTCTAGTAGACTTGATATCCACATTTATCAAACGGGAACCTAAAAGGTTTTCTCTCGAACCTACATGTGGATTGCACAAAAAACATTATTTTGCTAAAGACAACATTACTAATTGCACTTTTTTTAAATCACCCTCTAGATTTATTGACTGGGTTAAAATACTTTAATGTAGATTGTAATATTTCATGTTCCGAGCAATTAATATATAATTATGCCATTCATGGAAGACATTTTAGATTAAATGAAATCTTCTAACAATATTTTTTTAATTTCTCATAATTATCTTCTTTATCATCATTATCTTCATTATAATAATTATCATCATTATCAACATTTTCATCATTGTCATCATTATCATCATTATCATCATAATCATCATTATCATCATTATCATCAAGTTCATATTAATATCATTGTTTCGCTACTTAGCGATTTCCCTAAAGACCTAATATATGTAAGACTCCCTTCTCTCAACGCTCTTCATAACAAAAGGATGATAATAAGGTTCCGAACGTTTATTTCTCTGAGTCTTCAATCTAAATAAGTTTATTAAACCCACAGAAAAAGCTTTTGAGTGATAAATCATACAAATACAACAAATAATTCACTCAGGCATTAAAAAACTGTGGCTAGGAACCAACAAACACATATATAAATATTAATCATACTATAATCAACACGATAAGCATAAGTATATATAAAAATAGTTACCACAGTGATCCCAGAATTCTGGACACGGTTAAAACTTGCAAGACGAATAAACATATACTGATATAAATTATTTACTACTCCGCGAGAAATCTTGCGCCTGCGCAGTCAGTCTGTAAACAGTTCCTAAAACTAGTTCTTTTACAATACATTCCGTACAGATCTTCAGGGAGAACTCAGAAATACACAGGGGCGATAAGCAGACTTTATACACGCAGCATGGCTCGCGTAACAATCATCAATATCATCAATATTATTAATATCATAAATATCATCATTATCAATATTATCCATATCATTAATATCATCATTATCATAATCATCATTATCATCATTATCATCATTATCATCATTATCATCATTATCATCATTACAATCATTATCATCAATATCATCAATATCATCAATATAAATATTATTATCAATATCATCAAAATTATAAATATCATCAATATCATCAATTTCATCAATATCATCAATATCATCAATATAAAAAATATCATCAATATCATCAATATCATTAATATCATCAATATTATCATTATCATCGATATCAGCAATATCATTTATATCATCAATATCATTAATATCCTCATTATCATCATAGTCATCGAAATAATAAACATCATCAATATCATCAATTTATCATCAATATTGTCAATATCATTAGTATCATTAATACCAACAATATCATCAATATCATGAATGCCATTAATATCATTAATATCATTAATATCATCAATATCAACAACAAAATATTAATTAATATCATCATTATCAATACTAAAATCACCTTTACAGATATCCCTTTATGAGCCGACATTCCAAGAAAACTTGCACCAAGCAGTACACTCTCATTTTCTGCGGGTACATGTACAGGCAGTTGTACTACATCTACCTAGATAAAGAAAACAGTTCAGTACAATCTCATATTTTTGAGGTACATGAGTAAGGTCGCTACCTGAAATCCAGAAAGTAATGTTTACTGTATTGAAATTGTACAAAATCTACAAAACCATTTAAAAGAGAAGAAGAATTTTAGTGCATTGATCTCGATCATATGAATAATGTAGATCTACAGATTTTTTGATTCCTTAACGATATACCGTGATGGTAATGCACTGAAGGTATAACCTTGAATGAGGGATAATGTATTGATCTTCAAATCAAAACATTATGATAAACAATATAAAAACAGAAACTAGCTTAATTAATATACTTTTTAATTTCTTATTTAAACTAGAACTATTCTAAGATAAAATTAAAAGTTATTTCTAATTTAAACTATTAAACAAGCTAAAGAATGTTGTTAAAATAGAATTTAGTAAAATAAATTGAATTTGAAGCTTATCTTAATTAGTATGTGTCAGTAAATTTAAAAGAAACGTTCACTCTGTTTTGTATAAATTTAAAGCCACAGTTACGATAAATGAATTTTCGCGATGTTTGTTAAAATTGTCGATCTTTCCTTCAACTTTTTTTTCTCGCAAAAATACAATCTTCTGGAAGGGACAGACTGGCTATGTAAGGAGTTGAACTGAGTTTGCAGTGTTGTGGAAAGCTTCTTTAGGATTAATTTGAGACATATTAAACTTTTTAGAGATCTGTAAATCCTGAGTTTGAGAGCAAATCCTACTTTTGGAGTGGATACATTTTCAGAATCGGTTTTTTAAAATATTAAATAACGACGACATAAAATGTAAAAAAAAATTCTACAGTAAACTAATTAGATGGTTAGGAACTTACTTCACAAAAGAAATTTGTCAATTAATCAATGCTAAAATCAATGATTTCAATCATTATATTAAATTTCTTATTTTCTTTGAATTTATTAGCAGATTTCTTCAAATTCTTCAAACCAGAATAATAAGAAAATAGAAACTAATAATTGAACAAGATTACTTATTTTCGATGATAAGATTAATTTTTATTTTCTTAACCTGTAGAATTTGTTTACATTTTATGTCGTCGTTATTTAATAATTAAAAAAAACTAATTCTGAAAACGTATCCAACCCCAAATTAGGAGTTTTGAACGTGGAATTTGCGCTCAAACTCAGGATTTACAGATCTAGTATTTTACTTAATAAAATAATAGGGTAGGGTAAAGTCAGGTATTTTACTCCAACCCCTAGCAATGTACTCCAAATCCGGGTAAAATTAGTGCAGACCAGACTCTGGTCTTCTATTCCAAACTTTTACTCTGCACCCTGGAATTTTACTCTGAACCCTGGAATTTTACTCTGAACCCTGGTATTTTGCTCCAAACCCTGGTATTTTACTCCAACTTCTAGTATTTTACTTCAAACCATGGTTTTCTACTTCAAACCCTGGTATTTTACTTTAAACCTTTTTATTTTATTTCAGACCCTAATATTTTACTCCAAACTCTGGTATTTTACTCCATAACCTGATTTTTTACTCCAAACCCTGGTATTTTACTCCAACTTCTAGTATTTTACTTCAAACCATGGTATTCTACTTCAAACCCTGGTATTTTACTTTAAACCTTTGTATATTTCTTCAGATCCTAATATTTTACTCAAACTCTGGCATTTTACTCCATAACCTGATTTTTTACTCAAACCCTGGTATTTTACTCAAAAAATCAAATATTTTACTACAAGCCTTCGTATTTCCCTCCAAACTCTGGGATTTTACTACAAGCTCCCACGTTTCACTCCAAACTTCACGATTTTACAACAAGCTCCCACGTTTCACTCCCAATGCTGGGATTTTACTACAAGCCCCAACGTTTCACTCCTAACTCCCGGATTTTACTAAACGCCCCAACGTTTCACTCCTAACTCTGGGATTTTACTACAAGCTCCCACGTCTTACTTCAAACTCCGGAATTTTACTACAAGCCCCCGTAATTCACTCCCAACGCTTTACCTTGCACCTTAAACCCTAGCTCTTTTTATCTCATTTCTATTTTGCAGCTTCAATTTCTTGCTTTTAAAAAAGAAAATGCCGAACAGTTTAAGAATAGAACAATATTTAACTCTGGTGGGGGGGGGGGAGATGAAAACCTCTTTTGGATGAAAGGGAAGATAAAGGAATGGTTTTACGAGTAGAGGATTTAAAAATAATAAAATACAATGAGTCGTTTTCTTTTAGAACGGTTTTTGATTTTGCAATAAAGAAAGAAACTCAGAAGATTCTAGTTTAACTGGGGCCACCCCCACCCCCGCCAATCATAAAATTTATAATTTCATTCAAGGATATTAAATTGATTAGACACAGATAGGCTGGCCGAGAAATGTGTTCTCAGAAATTCTATGTGAAGTATAGTTGGCGATTAGTCTGGATATCCAATTAGGAAATCCAATGTAGAATTTAAAGATTAATGATTATTCCTGAGATTCACAGCACAAGTGTTTTGAATGATGTCTATAGTTTAGATAACAGATTATAAAGGAACTGTAATCTTTACAACCCAGTGTACATTTAGCTTTCAGAGAAGCAACAACTGGGTGTTGTTTGTCACTTCTGAAAGTATTCAGAGATACATGATGAGAGAAAAAATGGCAAACTAAAGAAACTTTACCCAGGTGATGTATATGGGCCCTCTGGGGGTATACACCCCTGCACACATATGAAAAAGAAAAAAATGGAGCTACAAGTAACAATTAAGGACTGCATTCATCTATTAACACTGTATCACCAAGGAGAATGGAGGTTTTTCACCTAGCGGGTGCCAGATTTTACAAATGACATGCTTTAAATATACTTCTTCATAACAAGTCTGCAGGTTAGCTGTTTTTGAGTATCCAAACCCGTAGGAAAGACGTTAATTCTTTCGATTTAATCTGGTTCTATATGTAGGCATCAAGATATCAGTTACAAGTATCTGTCCGAGATGAACTTACATGAATCAAGAATTCTTTTGTTGCAATTATCCACTTCCACTCCTTGCTAACATTTCTTTTCCCATTTTGTCATTATAAAAGCGGAATTCTGACAGTGTATCCTCAGCATTTCCAAACCCCGCTTAGCAGTGACTTTTATTTTTACATCCTGTAAGAATATATATAATAAATATGAACAATAGCTGTATCATCAATCCACAACATAACTTGTCAGAGAAATTAGACACCTTTGCATAAAACACAAGCAGTAACTTTCCATTATACTTAATTTGAAATTTATGGGTCAAGATATCAAATTGAAGAATAGCATAAAAAAGAAAATTGCAAAAACAGAGAGCTGAAGTTCTGAGCAATATGCGTAATATTAAGGGGGAAAAAGAGCAGAAATATGTGTCCAAATGCATTTTTCCTTGTCTACAAGAGATTAGAATTCGCAGATCTACAAGAGAGCAGAATATGCATGTATGATCAGCTAAAAATAAGATACAACAGCCAGAGAAAAAATTCATTGATCTTTTTAAGTTTAAAAAATTTTTTAAAAATTCAAATTTAAAAATAAATTGTAGCACTATGAACATAATAACATGCCATAAACATAATAATCATCATTAAACAGCTAAGATCGCGTCTTCAATCTTATATCATCAAATTTGTCAGTCTAAAAAGCAACTACCCGCAGATCAATCCTGAATCACAACAGCTTGTACCCTAGCGCTTTCTACTCAACAAATATATTCTGTAAAACACTACTTTGCTCAGGTTAAAACTATAAAGAAAAGACGCAATCAAAATCTGAGCAATCAAAATCTAATACGAGCTATAAAAAAATAAAACTAAAGTAAATGCAAAAAGCGTGGCCTAGGCTGGAGACGTCTTTCAGTAAAAGACTTGGCGGCAAAGTACTACAGAGAGCGGGATATACAAAACTGATCAGATTGTCTTCTACAAGTAAACTCTAACAATATCTCAGTTGGTCTTCAGTGGATAAACTACTCGTTGAATGAAAACAATAAGCTTAGCATGATGCTCTGAAACGGGGAGACCGAGTCAATATAAATAACTGGGCACAATATCATCTTTCTTATACTGACGGAGAAACTAGTGATGACTCGGCCTGCGCCGGATCCGTTCCCTGGGCTCCAAAGCCTATCAAAACTTTCCACCTCGATTGTGGGCCCGGGAAAACCTGATAGTACGAAAACTAATAGTCTGGGTTCAATAATAACCCTTTGCATAAATGTTAAAATATCTGTAAAACCCAATATAGTAGACATTAAATTATAAAAGATTTACACCAACAAGTCTGTTAGATTATAAAGATTAGAAATTTTTAGTTTGTGGCAAAAACTCAGTTCCTTTTGTAACTCTGGGGTTTACGTCTCAAAGAAATATTCTCACTTAAATTGAGTTTTGTTTTACTTTTCTATCTGACTCTGGTTGCTTGGATTAGAGCTGGGTGGGAAAATATAAAATATTTAAATATCCAAATATCTAAATAGACATGAATATTGACAGGGAGGGGATTCAGATTCAGCTTATTTTAGATATTCTTCCTTTTAACCTAAAGAGTGTCTGAAAAAAAAGATTCTTTGAAAAGTAAATATTTGTTTATGCATTATTTAAGAAAGTCTTTAATGATCTGTAAACACTAAAAGTTATCTTACAACATGATTTCTTAAAATTAACCTTTAATTTGCATATCTTTAAACAGGAAAAAGATAGTTTATCCTACATTATTCTTAACCTTTAATTTGTATATCTTTAAACAGGAAAAAAGATAGTTTATCCTTCAGTATTCTTCCTTTAATTTGTATATCTTTAAACAAGAAAAAGATAGTTTATCCTACAGTATTCTTAACCTTTAATTTGCATATCTTTAAACAGGAAAAAGATAGTTTATCCTTCAGTATTCTTCCTTTAATTTGTATATCTTTAAACAGGAAAAAGATAGTTTATCCTACAGTATTCTTAACCTTTAATTTGTATATCTTTAAACAGGAAAAAGATAGTTTATCCTACAGTATTCTTCCTTTAATTTGCATATCTTTAAACAGGAAAACGATAGTTTATCCTACAGTATTCTTAACCTTTAATTTGTATATCTTTAAACAGGAAAAAGATAGTTTATCCTACAGTATTCTTAACCTTTAATTTGTATATCTTTAAACAGGAAAAAGATAGTTTATCCTACAGAGTATTCTTCCTTTAATTTGCATATCTTTAAACAGGAAAAAGATAGTTTATCCTACAGTATTCTTAACCTTTAATTTGTATATCTTTAAACAGGAAAAAGATAGTTTATCCTACATTATTCTTAACCTTTAATTTGTATATCTTTAAACAGGAAAAAGATAGTTTATCCTACAGTATTCTTCCTTTAATTTGCATATCTTTAAACAGGAAAAACATGGTTTATCCTACAGTATTCTTAACCTTTAATTTGTATATCATTAAACAGGAAAAGATAGTTTATCCTATAGTAATCTTCCGTTAATTTGCATATCTTTAAACAGGAAATAGATAGTTAATAGATAGTTAATCTTACAGTATTCTTCCTTTAATTTGCATATCTTTAAACAGGAAAAAGATAGTTTATCCTACAGTATTCTTCCTTTAATTTGCAAATCTTTAAACAAGAAAAACAAGAAAAAGATAAGATATATTACAGAATGCATTTTTGCAATTTGTATATTTCTAAATGTTAGAATGTTGCGAAGGCTAGAAACCTGCCTAAATCCAATAATTCTAAGGAAATTAGAACACCTGAACTTAATTCATTGAACCTTCTCCTTCCTTAGTTTCTTTACCCAGAGGCTATGCATAATTTATAGCAGTAAGAGAACCCTTCTCTTTTAACTGTTATTCAAAACATGCTTTTTAGAGAAACTGAATATTAGATCGAGTAACTATACATTAAATATGTAGATTAAATGTAATGCTTTCCCATGTTTATACCAAATACTGTATTTGACATTTTTTTTAACCAATACAAATAGACTTTTTTGATGTTTTTGTAATTATTGCTTAGTCTTACTTTTTAAACACATGGTTATGTCTGTTCTATGATGATCTATATTGGGACCAAGTGAAGTCCTTAAAAGTTGGATAGTGGAATATTTCATTTTTTATAAGAAGAACTTTTGGGCTTCAAATTGGTTGTAAGTTTTTAGCAGAAGAAGCTCCATTAGAGATTTAAGTTAGTCCGTCGGACGAGAAAAAAATAGTACAAATTAACTCTTTTTGAAGGGATTAACAGTAAAAAAACTCCTACCGCCGTATTTCTAAAACTTTAACTTTTCTAACTTTTCAATTTTTAACTACCTGTATTATATATATTTTGCTTGTCTGTCATGGTGTTTGTTTGTATCCAGTAAACGTCAAAACGGCTGAACCCATCCGGCCCGAATTTTTTGTGGGACTTCACATATTCCCAAGGAAGGTTTATGAAAGATCAAAATTTCAAAAATTACCCTCCAGCAAAATTCGAATGTCATTAAATTTTCATAAAATTTTTTAAATCCGCGAACAGTACTTTTTGTTTTACAACACAATTCAAAGAGAAAATGTTCACAATTGAAAGAGAACATGGGAGCTATACGCCCTAAAAGCCTAGTTTTATAAAAACAAATATCTTACCAATGTTTGTAGAAACAGCTTGGATTTGGTAAGACCCCCGCATACTGTCACATTACTGAAGGTCAAAAATAAACAGTTAATAACTGATTAATTTTCATTATTTTTCTATAATTTTTCCAAATGTGAATGCCCCATATTCTCAATGTTACCTGAAACCTTTGTCTGATCAGAGATAAATGACATGTTTTAATAAAATGAATTTTAAAAAGAAACCTGTAAAAATCATCATGCCACTTATAAATGGACGATGAGTTTAAATCAAGTCCCTTTAAAACCTGTTTTTTTAGTAATTACCAAACTTGATGTCCCTCTTCTAATAGAACTTGTATAATATGCTTGGTTCCATAGCAGACTCCTTGTATTGTAGCTGGTTAAATAATACTCATTCAATTATCCATTTCTTTTCAAAGTATGTTAGCTTTCTCTAAGCTCGATACATATTCTTTTTTCTTTTTTAAAATGGGGATAATCACCCGTTAGAGCACAAAAAGAACATGGAAACCATGTATTAAACTGATCCAGGGGCCGGGGCTGAGTCCCCATAGCCGCCCCCCCCCCCCCGAGTACGCCTCCGATTATATTATGGCCTATAACAGTCAACTCAACCTGCTTCTAGCTAAATGGAAAGCGTTAATTGTTCACTCACTCAAAAACTAAAACTAAATAGCTTTTTTAATTGTTCCATCAATTTTAAGGCCCAATTCTAATTTTCGAGTTTCTTGAAATCCTAAATTCAAAATAAAATCCATTAAGATAGTTCTAAGAAATATTGGTAAAGTACTTCATCAATATTCAACATAAGGTTCTCAGGGGAAAGTTTTTAAAAAAGTAATTAACCAAACTCTGTGCAAGTCAGCTAAAACTAGATGAAAACATATTTTGGTAAAAACAAGACGGCTTAAAGAATTTTAGAATTAAACATTTTCTCTCTAAGCTACTATACTACAATACAGTAACTAACTAATATTAAAAAGAACTTTTTAAACCAACATTTTCTAAAAAGTCTTTAAATTCAGTTTTATTGTTTTACAGCTTTTTTGGGATGGCGTGTCTTTATTGCACTGAACATTATTGTTCTGGAAAAAATTATCGTTCTGCAATAAAGTGAACAAGACAGGAAGTTGATGTGCGTTCAACACCCCCCCCCCCTCCCCTGATTCGTCCTATCTTTGAAAAAGTATAGACCTTTATTCAAACATTTTACTTTTTTGCTCCATCCTATAACAGCCAAATTGGTGAAACAGAATCATTGAAAAGATAGGGGTAAAATAGATGCATACAAATTGAAAGAGCAAGATGCTGTCGGACTCTTGGATGTCTAGACTCCATGAAGAGAAAAGAAAGATGTAAGTTTAAATCCTGAGTTAACGGTAGAATAATACAAATAGAGAAATAGTAATGAAGGATTTATATTTTATAAATATGTATTTTTTTTGTCAAAGAGAAAAGTTTCACAATTATCCTCAATTTTACTCTTAATCAATAAAATGTTTTTAAATTGTAAACAAATCTCATTACTTTTAAGAAATGAGTTATTTCCTAGATATTGAACAGCAAGAGACTCCAGGTCCTTGGTCACAGTTAACCCAACCATACTTCCAGTCAGCTGAGGATCTGCCAGTGGTGATCTGTTTCCATGGAAATCAACTGTCATGTGAAACTTCTTCGTCAAAAAAGAAGAATCCTTTAAACTGTTTGTTATTCTTAGTTCTTCAATTCTATTTTCCAAAGCTGAATACACTTTGTCTGGCTCTGATATGTTTACAAGTTCTGAATAAGCTGGATGTGACTGAATTATGAAGTCTAGCAAGCCTCCGGTTAAAGATTGGCCTCCCTCCATCAGCCAGAGGCCATCAATAATTGCTGACCAGTAAGGGCCCCAAACTCCTGCTACAAAGTTTTGGTTTTCTGACAGAAGCATATGACAAGTAGATGTACCAGAGACTAAGCCAAGGTTCCCGACCAAGTTTGAGGCACCTTTAAGCATTCCTAAAGCTCCTGCATGAGCATCTATTAAAGATGTTCCAATAGCAGTTCCTTCCAACAATTCAAGATCATCAGCTGCTTGTTTGGATAATCCAAGACCAACAGGACTTCCAGGATTTAATATAATTTTTCCGATCTTGTTCCATTCATTTTCCTCCAGATCTTCTAGCCCTATTAACCTAAACAAGGTCTTGTCCCATCCGATAACTTTGGAATTACTTTCAACAAGATAGTTCCATTTGCAGACAACACTGCAGAAAGATCTAGAATCTGAACCAGTCGCCTTGTAGGTCAACCAATCTGGAAGATCAAAAAAATTTCCAGATTTGACCCAAAGGTCATTGTTGTTGTTTTTAAGCCAGAGCAGCTTGGGAAGTTGCATTTCAAGAGATACCTGACCTCCTACATAATTCAGTACCTTGTGCTTGGTTGTGTTTATCAATTGTGCCTCTGCAGATGCTCTATGATCACACCACATTATTATATCATAATCTTGATCCTCTCCGACCGGTAGTCCAACTCCATTCTTATCTTCAACTACTAGACTGCAAGTAGCATCAAATCCTATACCTTTAATAGAGTCCCTCGTTGTGTTGGATGTTTCTAGAACAGCACGAACTGTTGATATAACTGCACTCCAAATTTCCTGTGATGACTGTTCATAATGTCCTGGTTTTGAACTCTTTCTACTAATTTTTTCTTCTGACCTCGCCAATAATTCACCATTTGCATTTACTAAACCGGTTCTCACACTGCCTGTCCCTACATCCACGCCAAGATAGCAATCTGCCATTTTTTCTGAAAATATTAAATTTTCCAGATTTCTAACATCAAAAGATTTTCTTCTTTATTTACAGAGTTCTTTTTATTCAGAGAGGAAATTGAATTCAAAAAAGTTCTGAAAAATAATTTAGATTGAATCTCGTCAATATTGTACTGAATATTTTTCTTTTTGTGTTCCTACATGTATATCTACAATATATATATACAGCACAATATATCCACTCTAATTCTGAGGCCCAAAACAGAAATTCTTTAGAAGTATTTCTGATTTAAAAAGGGAGTTTATTCTGTTTATGGTATAATGTATCTATCTAAAAGAAAGTATATTCATATACACTGTACGCCACTAACTTTACCTTCTTTCTGTAGAATATTGAGTAAGTATTGCTAGGTGTACATATATGCTGAACTTCCTTTTAATTGATTATACTGCAGTTTAAATTAGAACTACTTCTGAGAAGGTTCAGTTTTGGACCTCAAAAATTTAGTTGTCTGTAGATTGGTCTGTCTGTCACTATAGTTTCAGTAGAAGTAAATATTTCCATTTAGTGTTTAGCGCCGATATAAGGATTCATCTCTAATTGGATAATGAGATAGACAGAAAGATAGATGATACTGCCATGCAATATGTATTTGTTCAGAATAGACACCAAACTCATGACTGAACCCTGATTGGATCAGGCGCTAATGGACTCGGCATAAAAGAGTGCGTGAACCAGGAATTCCCAGTAGGTGCACAGCTGTGCATCAACAAATATCAAACTTTTGAACTAATCAGACCCATTCTGCGGGCCATCATATGATCCTTAAAGTTGATTAATTTTAGTAATAAAACATGTTTTTTGAAAAAGTTTATTAGTTAATAACAAAGAAAGCTAAAAAAAGATTAGCAAAGCACATATTTCAGAAAACTCACAATTAAGTGAGTATTTACAATACTGTTAAAATTAAGTGAGTATTTACAATACTGTTAAAATTAAGTGAGTATTTACAATACTGTTAAAATTAAGTGAGTATTTACAATACTGTTCAAATTAAGTGAGTATTTACAATACTGTTAAAATTGTTTTAAATTCTAAGATTTGTAAGTTAAGCTGGGATTGCAATAAATCTTTGCTGTATTTAGATCCAGGTATCTTGTGTAAACCTACAGAGCTAGGAAGATATAATGTTATGGATAAAGTTGTGAGTAGTTAAATCTTCAATCTTTAGTTGGATATCAATACATTTCAACAGCTTTAAACTTCAAACACCCTCTGCAGTTCAAGTAATGGATGTTTAAAAGTCAGGATCAGTGTTTATTTGAAGCGTATAAGTGTTTGGATATTTAAACTTTTCATTTTATTTCAAGTGAATTAAATAATTTTTATTTTATACATATTTCAAGGGTGTTTACAGGGCAAAGGGGCAGTCAGTCAGTAAGTTTCTGAAACTTATCAAAACTTAGGAATTATAACGGTAAAAATTACAAAACGTAATTAAAATATGGTCTATAGTTTTTACCTTTTGTTTTTTTAACTACGTACTTTGTTGGCCGGGATGTTTAATATGTGTTAAAATGGGCTCTTAAAGGGTATGTTGAGTGTAAACATTATATGAAAGGGACTGTAAAGGAAAAATGAAAGGGGGTATAGGATGAAACCAGAGAATCTCAGGCGTTGAACAATACATATAAGATGTTCCTGTCTCGAGAAATTGATATAAAACAGGAGCCTGAGAATATCAGGTTTGCTCCTATTATAATTTTTTAATTTACATTTTGCATTTTTAATGGATATAATTTATAATATTATTTCATTTATTTCGTATAGTCCGTCTTACGTCACCAGAACTTCAGCCAATGGCAGTGCAGTATACTGGTCACGTGATTTCCGTCTATATCATGTGACTAGTATACTGCGCTGACATTGTCTGAAGTTTTGGTGACGTAATACGGACTATACAGATTTCAGATTAGTTGCATATTTGCTGAATGCGATCTGTTTAAACCAGGAGCGTAGTGGGGGGGCGGTACCCCTGTGCCCCCTAGCCCCCCCCCCCAGAGGCAGGCTCTAATTTATTAAACAGTAAACTTATATATATATATTCAGATTTTTTACTTTTCTTATTAATCGACAATGTCACAATTTGTCCATATTATGATTATTTTTCAAATTAAAATTAGATTTTAAACTTTTTTAGGGGGGTGCACATCAACCGTTATGGACCCCCCTAGGCTGAACCTCCACTACACGCCTGGTTTAAACCTACTAATTTTATACAAAATTGTTTATTTATGAATTTTGGTATAATTTTACACAGTTTTATATCAATTTCTCGAGACAGAAACATCAGAATGATGTCTTAAATGTATCGTTCAACGCCTGAGACTCTCAAGTTTCATCCTATACCCCCTTTATTTTTCACTTTACAGTCCCTTTAAGAATTATCCGATACACAATTCCTTGAAAATGTTGTCTGATCCAGGATGGCATGTTGTATCAATAGTAATGTTTGATTAGCAAGCTATTTCATATTTGAAGAATGTTATTGTTCGTTTTCCGGGAGTCGCAGAAAATACAAATTTACATTCGAACTTTTAAAAAAGGGAACTTTTACTCTTTACTTCGTCGTTAATGATCTGACAACCGTATAAATGGTATCGGTGAAAATAGAACATGCCATGAAGTACAGACTTAATGACTGTTTAGCAAGGATCTCAAAGGAATTGATTCATGTGCCACAAATTTTCTAATCTCTATATATCTTTGCAAACTGATGGAGTAAACCTTTAATATTTTAAACTTAGATTATTTGATCAATAAAAATCATAATTTGAAATATCTAAGGTTGATGACTTTGGCTTACAAAGATAAAAAGAAAATCCGAGTTTGTCACCCTCAGCTAAAACAGCATTATCTTTCGGTCAGGCAGAATAGGTGGGAGGAAATCCTGCCAGTACTAGTACAAAGTCATTTTCCGTTAGCTTGGCCTAGCG